GAGACTATCTCTTAAAAAAAATTAGAAAAGGAAACTTCCCTGTATCACTTATTTTAAGTTGTTGATAATGACGTTCCTTGGTGTGATTCTGTGTTTATAGTTTTGCTTCAGTTTGGCAACTTTTAAGTTATTCTTTTCTTTTTTTTAATGAGTCGGTCTGGTCTCACTCTGTCTCCCAGGCTGGAGTACAGTGTCATGCTCATGGCCACCGCAGCCTCGACCTGCTGGGCTCAGGTGATTTTTCCACCTCAGCCTTCCAAGTAGCTGGAACCACAGGCATGCACCACCACGCCTGGCTGAATTTTTTTTTTTAACTGGAGTCTCACTCTGTTGCCCAGGCTGGAGTGTACACTCACGGCTACCCCAGTGTTGACTTGCTGGGCTCCAGCGATCTTTCCACCTCAGCCTTCCAAGTAGCCAGAACCACAGGCACACACTATCACGCCTGGCTAATTTTTTATTTATTGTAGAGACGAAGTCTCGCCGAGTTGTCCGGACTGGTCTCGAACCCACTCGCCACGGCTTCCCAAAGTGTTGGGTTTACAGGTGATTCATGGTGCCATGCAAATGCAGATAATTTTTATAATATTGCATAATTCTTGTACTAAACTTTTTTTCATAAACTGATTTCTAGAATTTCTTTAAGTCTCAGCTCAGGTCTCGCTTTCTCCCCTATTTAATAAAGTCTTTTAACCAGGCATGGTGCGTCTGTCATTCAGCTACTTGGAAGGCTGAGGCGGAAGGATCACCCAAGCCCAGCAGGTTGAAACTGTGGTAGCCATGAGCATGCCACTGTACTCCAGCCTCAGTGACAGAGTAAGACACCAATGCAAAAAGATAAAACTAAAAATAAAGTCTCTGATTTTTCTTTGTGAACTTACTCCTTCCTCTTTGAAACTTTTACATGTGTTTTTTACAGCGTGTTCTCTACTGACATCACAATTATTAGTTTAGATCTGTGTCTTCCTCAGACCTAGGATTCGTCCAATAAAAAGCATAACCTTCACAGACTGGTTGTGAATCCATTTTTGTCTAAAATCAGTCGATCGTGCATTCTAGGTCCCAGACATGTGCCTAGGCACTGTGCAGGTAGTCCCACATATTTAAACTCTTATCAGAAGTTGTATATTGTTGGATAGAAGCCCCAGAACTCTGCTCTCTAGTGAATATCAATTTAACCTGGTCATTTACATGCATTCTTAGTACAGGCTTATTCTGATGGAAGCTTTTCCTTTTATCCTAGGTGGGAGGTGGGGTAGGGTTAGAAGAAATTTTAAGTGACTCAGATTTGGGTTTAATGTGTTACACTCATTTTCTAATTAAGCTGCTGCACAAGTGAGATGTTTTCTAAGCAAACCAAGCATGACACTGTGTCCTTTGATACCCTGCACTCCAGTTTCAAACACGGTGCAGCTGCTGCTCCCACTGCCCACCGAGGGCCAGGACTTCCCCCCTGAGGCCAACAGTGTTACCGATACCATTTATGACTCTGGGCACATCACTCATTGATAATGTCTTACTTTTCTCTTAAGGAAGATAGACTCATTGGTTTCTAAAATGCATCCAAACGATGGTGCAAACTTTCCAACTCAGGTTAATCAAAATTGCTAGAAAAATTTCACAAGAGCAATCTCGTTTCAAATGTATAGACTGTACTGAGCGTTGCAATTCCAAGTATTACGTTCAAATAGCAGCAAAAACGTATCCCTGGTATACATACGTGTAATGAAGGAAAAAATAGACTCTGTAGTCCCTGCTCAAGTGGTATTTATTATGTAAGTTGCCTGCAATATATAAAACACAAGCATGAAACTTTGTGCTCAAAACTTGAACAGATAAAATAAACACGGAAAGGCAATAGACAACGAGTTTTCTCAGCCATCTTTTCCCAAATTCCCAATTAAGTTCAGTGGTATCAGTTGACTGCTCTTTCTTTCTGCAGGCCTCCCTACCAAATGGCAGGGCTTTGAAATTCTACCCTCCCCAAAGAAGAAGGCAATACCCTTTGCCTACATGCTTCCTTAGCTATGTGAGACAGGTTTTTCTTTCAATCTTTTGTTCACATGCAAAATCTTGAATATTCAGAGAAGCACTAGGCTTTTCACATTCATTTGCCTTAAAAGTTTCCTGACTTGCACCTTCTCATGTCAGTGTTTTTTTTTGGATGATAAAAATGTATGAGGCAATTTCAAATCATAAAGCTAATGTATGAAATGTGGAAAGTTCTTACGCGCCTTTTCTTCCCCCTAAGAGGACATGATAGGAAATATGTTGAACAGAAATAGTTAAAACTATGTTTAATATGTCCTTTGATTTGTCCAAGAGCCAGTAAGTCATTTGTTCTCCCGAACTCAAAGTCTAGGTCCCCAGGGGGAGAAAGCCAGTTTGTCTGGTTTGCTTTCTAATCCAATCCTCTGTGAAGGGCTTATACCACCGACGGGCATAGTAAATGTTGAAGAAATAATTTTTGCACAGCCTCCTTAAAGAATGAAGGGGTTGGGAGGAAGGATTAGATAGTTTTATGATGGGTTCCTTACTCATGGCTGAATTATGTTTTCCCATAAAAATATCTTCATACTTAGAGATAGTGTACTTCTATGTGGATAAAAAGATATCTAAGTTCATAAGTGCATATATGTGATTTAAAAATCAAATTTGGGAACTTTAAAAACTAAATAGATAGCCAGGCATGGTGACACCCACCTGTAGTCCCAGTTACTTGGGAGGTTGAGGTGGAGGATCCCCTGAGCCCACAGGATGAGGCTGCGGTGAGCTGTGATCATGCCACTGCACTCCAGTCTGGGAGACAGAGCAAGACCCTGTCTCAAAAACAAACAAAAGCAAAAACAAAAAAATACAAAACTAAATATAATTTTAAAACTTCTGCTTCTAACCCAGATGGAGTAACAGCGACTAGATTTACCCTCCTATGTGAAGTAACTAGAAAACTAGGTGAAACATATGAGAAACACTGTGAATATCAGACTCAGTATTTGGACATTTTTGGTCAATGACCCTTGAAAGATGGGAAACAAATGGTGTGAGCCCTATGGTCATCTAGGAGGCCTGCCTTGAGAGAGTTTCTAGGCTGCAGTGCAAGTAGAGAGAGCCCAGCCAGAGTTTGGTGAACTTGCTGGATTGGGGAGAAGGAATTGGTAGATAATATGGAGGGTTTAAAAAAAGCTAGAGTTCAGGGGACAGGGTGTCAGAGGACAGAGGGGGGCATAGGGAAAAAAATTTCACAGATCTGGGGAGATGTCCATGTGAGTATTTAGCAGAGATAAAAGGCATGTGTGTGAGGAGAGTATTCAGCAGAGTACTGCTTTCCCCAATGTCCCCATGCCATCATCAGTGTCTAACTTGTGGAGTCCACCCCAAGTTGGTCATTACAGTTATTTAAATTCCAAACATAGTTAAAAATGAAAGGGCAGATGTGCTGATAGATAAGTGGGTGTTGGCTATAAAGAAAAGATTCTCAATCTGTCTTTGTGGATCATGGTTTTTGTTTTTGTTTTTTTTACCAGCACAAAGATTTCCTCAGTTTGTGTTTAAGAAATGAGTGATTAGCATTTTTTTTTTGGTATGTTGAAAACAAAATATAAAATCTAAATTGAATATGATAACACCATGTTAAATGAATCCATTTGGCTAAATAATCCTCACGACAACAAGTTAGTGAAAATTAATCTCACTCGCTAATTATTTTTGTTGCTCTCAATAAGATTATTTGTTTTTTGAATTGGGGGTTCTCAATCTGCTGCCCAGGCTGAAGTGCAGTGGCACAATCATGGCTTGCCGCAACCTCGACTTCCCCGGCTCAGGCGATTCTCCTGCCTCAGCCTCCCAAGTCGCTGGGACTACAGGCACACGCCACCACACCTGCTAATTTTTTGATTTTTTTTTGTAGAGATGAGGTCTCATTATGTTGCCCAACCTGGTCTTAAACTTCCAGGCTCAATCCAGCCTCCCACCTCAACCTCCTAAAGTGCTGGTATGACAAGACCTGAGCCACCACACCCGGCCAGGATTCCTTCTTCTAAAACTACATTAGAGAAAGAAAGAAGACCATTGGTATTCACAGAGAGCGTGCCCTTCCCTCCTCTGCTCTCATCCTATTTTTTTTTTTTTTTGCAAGTTTCCATTTTGTTGAATCAGAGCAGCATGCAGAACAGTGCTTTTTGCCATGCAGCTGAGTAAATTTCCACAATTGCACAACATGGAGATCACAGGTCACATCTTCAGAGTTAATTAAATCACTGTGATGTGATGGGTGCTTCCAGCTGCTGGGCCATCTACGGCCTTCCAGTGGGTAAACCCAACATGTGTCTGTGGGAGAGTAAATCTCATGCTTTCTCACCTCGGTGACGTCCTCCTCTACAGGTCTCTGCTCATTTCCCATCAAACACGTTTTCACCCATTCAAACTCAATTTCAGAGTCTACACTTTATGCAATTTAAATACCAAGTTTCGGTAAGACAGCCCTTTTCTGTTCCTTGAACACTGTTTTGTCCACTTTGATACAATAACAGCTTCATTCTTACGGGTCTTTTCAGCTAAAACAGTGAGATAAAGAAATCATATAATTTCTCCAGCATTTCAATATTCTAAATTGTTTTCATATCAGTTATCACAAATTTGTTTTATGTTCATTATTCGATTATCCCCACAGCAATCCGATGAGGCATTATTAGCTTCAATTATTAAATGAGAAAAATAAAAGCACAGACATGGGGGGATTTCAGGACTGAGAGAACTGAGACTAATATCCATTTCTTTTCAATTCCACCTTAGCTTTCTTTCTCTGTATCCAACGCAGAATACTGGCTTTCGAAAACGATTGGGGTCTTTTAATTGAGAGAATAGACTGCATTCTACAGGATTTAAACAATTCCCGTAGTCAGATTCTTTTTTCTTTTTCTTTGCCATCCAGGACGTGGGCTTCCTTACCACAAAAGAAGACAGTTTGGCCCATCTTGACTACTTTCTTCCAGAAGTCAAAGCATTTCTCAGTTGCACGAATGCAACACTTGACTTCTCTATGCCTGTCTCTGAAAGTAGGGCAGTCAAGACACCCCCATTAAAGGAAGAGCCATTTGCATGTGATAGGTAAAAGGTAAGTTGTTATGCAGCCACCTTGGAGAAGCTCTTTGTTGTTAAGGAGGCATCGCTCTGTAACCACACATACATTATGTGCTGTGTACACATGTGCACATGCAGGAAATTGCCAGAGAGAGTTGGCGGGGAGCACTGGCTCAGTGGAAGTTTCACAGAAGTGTTTTCTATTTGGGAGCACAGAAGTGTCATCTGGCTCCTGTTAGTTTTGCTGTCAACATTTACTTAAAAAGGGAGAGGCTCTCTGTCCATGCCACCCTCGGGAGGATCATTATTTAATGACTGGAATGGTTTAAGTTTCAGGTATCTATTAGGACAAAATGGTAACACAAACAAATGCCCTACAAGAGAGAAATGATCCATTTTCAGAGTTTAACCACATTCACTGAAATATAGCATTATTGTTCATTTCTACTGTAGTCTTTACAAACTGAAGCCAATCTTAGAGGACTGTCAAGGCAACAGAAGATAGGCATTTAGCGACTGACGTGATCTCTGGAGAATGTAATGCTCTAAAAAATTATTTTCAGGACGGGCGTGGTGATTCACGCCTGTAATGCCAGTACTTTGGGAGGCCGAGGCAGGAGGATGGCTTGAGCCCAGGGGTTCAAGACCATCCTGGGCAATAAAGCAAGACCTTGTCTACACAAAAAGTTAATAATAATAACTGTAATCCCAGCTACTCCAGAGGGATCACTTGAGCCCAAGAGGTCGAGGCTGCGGTAGGCTATGATCTCTTGGGTAACAGAGTGAGACCTTGACTTATATATATTTAGCCGGGCTCAGTGGCTCAGCCTATAATCCCACGCTTTGGGTGACTGAGGTGAGTGGATTGCCTGAGCCCGCGGATTCGAGACCCACCCGGGAAACCTGGTGAGACCTCATCTCTACAATAAATCAAAAAATCAGCCAGGTGTGGTAGCGCATGTCTGTAATTCTGGCTACTCGGAAGGCTGAGGCGGAAGGATCGCCGGAGCCCAGCAGGTCGAGGCTGCGGTGGCCGGGAGTGACCACTGCACTCCAGTCTGGGCGACAGAGTGAGACTCCAACTCAATAAGTAAATAAATAAATATACTATATATATATATGTTTTTTCAGATGTTCCCTTATTTTTTTCAGGATGAATACATTTTGTAGCTGTTTTAATTACTGTCATATATACTATGAGAAACAGTATGGTGTGGCAATGAAGAAAATGACCTCCTGAAACAGACAGCCTGGGTTTGAGTCCCAGCTCTGCTACTTAGTCGCTGTGTGACCTTGAACACGTCACTTTACCTTTCTGTGCCTTAGACATCTCATCTGCAAAATGGAAATACTAATAACACTGGCTTCGTATGTGTTGAGGATAAAGTGAATAAATATTCATTTGCAACCTAAAGAAAAGTGTTTGACACATGGTGCTCACTTATTGTAAGTTGCTGTTTTATTGGAAGAGGGATATACACATGACCTTCATGCTCTCTTTGAATGTATTTAATATTTTACCAAAGGAAATTTTGACCTAATCATTGTTAGAGTTACAAAGCATTTTCTATCCCTGTATTAAAAAAAAGAAGAAGACATGCAAATTCTTCTTAAGGCAACTCTAGTAATTGGATATTTTGAGACCAAGAAGGAAGTAAGGTTACTTTATAACTAGACCCATTGGGGTTAGATGTAAATTCATTTCAAATTCTTTCAGAAAATTCTACTTTCTTTCTTCTAGTTATTCTCTTCATACTTCGAAGAGAATATTCCCTCAGGGGGCAGGGAGAAGAACTTTAATCACTGTCTCCTCCATTTCCTTACCCCAATTTTATTTGGCTAGCAAAGCTCTCTTGGGAAGCTCAGTCAATGCCAGTCTCTCTCCCTTTCTCTCTGTCTCTACCTTCCCTCTCTTGTTCTCCCTGTTTCGTCCTCCTCTCTCCCTCCCTCAGCTGCCTAGAAAGTGCTTTCTTCATTTTGCTTAATAAAATCTTACTCATTGGCCAGGCTTGGTCCTCAGCCTGTAATCCCGGTACTTTGGGAGACCGAGGAGAGTGGATTGCCTGAGCCCACAGGTTTGAGACCAGCCCAGGCAACTTGGTGAGACCTCATCTCTACAGTAAACCAAAAATTAGCCAGGCATGGTAACACAGGACTGTAGTTCCAGCTACTTGGAAGGCTGAGGCGGAAGGATCGCTGGAGCCCAACAGGTCGAGGCTGCGGTGGCCGGGAGTGTGCCACTGCACTCCAGTCTGGGCGACAGAGTGAGACTCCAACTCAGAAAAATAAAATAAAATAAAATCTTACTCATAGGCTCATCCTTTACGACTCACCCCAATTTCCACTTCCCACAGAGACATCTTTCACTGATTTTCCAAAAAGGGCTGATTTTTCCCTTCTCTGTGTCCTTACCACATGTTGCCCATTCTGACCTATTAGGTTACAATGATCATTTCATATATTTGCTTGCCATGTGTGATTTTTCTTTCTAAAATACCCACTGTATTGGTCTTCCTATGGCTGACTTCTAGCTTGCTGTCCACCACATATTTTTCATTCAGTTCTTGCAGATGAAGTATGGAGAATTTATGCATCGGGACTTGGGTAGAGTTATTCTTGGTGCAACTGGAGAAAGTATCTTCCCAATAAGTGTTATTTGTAGGTTACCAAGGAACTCAGTCTCCTCAATTTGTCTTTCCAACTGGCTCGTTGCTGGCACCTGTCATTCCCTATCAGTGGTCATTTAGAGGTCTGGTTACGTTTTAAACTAGTTAAGACATTATCTTGTCGAGAATTCATAAAAAAATAAAAATAAACAGGCCTATTAGTAAGGATCAGTTTATTTGAGAGTGAAAAGAATGATATACAGAAACGATAAACTGTCATGTTAATAGGATCTAGGGTATGAATTATTAGAGAGCTCATTGGTCAGTGAGGGCGTTACCTAGAATCTAGAAAACTCAGAGGCGAGGAAGGGAGTCAATTCAGTGGAGATTTGGCCTGATGGAGAGTCATAACACTCAGAAAAGGGGAAGCTTCAGGTGAACTTGTTTTGTTTTGTTTTATTTTTGAGTCAGGTTCTCATTCTGTCACCCCAGACTGGAGTGCAGTGGCAGGATTGCATCTCACTGCAGCCTCGACCTCCTGGACTCAGGTAATCCTTTTGCCTCAGCCTCCCAAGTAGCTGGGATTACAGGCGTGTGCCACACACCTGGTTGATTTTTTTTTTTTTGCAACTTTTGTGGAGATGAGGTCTTACTGGGTTGCCCAGGCTGGGTCTCAAACTCCTGGGCTCAAGCAATCCTCCTGTCTCAGCCTCTCATAGTGCTGGGATTACAGGCGTGAGCTACTACACCTTGCCAGGTGAACATTTTGCTTGAGACTGAATGTGGTTCTCTTTTTCCCTGATAAAGGTGCAAACCAATGGCTTTGCAATAGATCTCGCCGAACTCCTTGCAATTATGCAAGACAAGGCATTGCCTACTGGTAGCAAAATGAATTAGGTTCAATAGTAGGCTCAATGCTTGAAAAAAATTACCGTAATTCAATCCAAAGGAGATACTCTGTTTTGTCATTTCCTGATTCTTTGCTCGGTGAAGTTGCTAAGAAAGTTGATCCATTCACATACAATTCATCACATATGTTTATATTTCAAAAAGCTGAAGAGATGGAAAAGACTGGCTTTATAAACCCCATCTGTCTAACTATTAAAGCGTTTGCAGACTGTCAAACAGTGTTCTCTTTGGAGGGGTCGGAAGGTCCCAGAGCCTCATCGCCCCATTTCCTCCACTGGAAAAAGCTGTTGATATGAGAAAAATTGGTAGTTAAATAAGCTATCTGGTTTTTTAGAAATGACTTCAGGAATTTTAAGCCATATGTTTACTCGGGTAGAGTACCTCCCATACAACTCTCAAGAGCCGGACTTACATGGCGTTTCAAGTATTCTCTGGCTAGAATTTAGCCATGTTTGAAACTCCATGAACAGTTTCAAATGCACATGCTATCCTTCTGTCATTCCGTGGCCAGTTTTTACAGCACGAACTACAGTATCTTCTGACTTACCCCCTTCTTAGCCATTTCCACAGGTACAAACAACAGGGTCAAGGCTATCTTTACTTCTCCATGATCGGATACATGGCAGCGAGAATTCTCTTTCCTCAAGTGCCATTTTTAAGTTTGCCATGTCCTCTTTTTTCATACGCGTACAATGGCTCTTCCTTCCTGTCAAGTCCCCACTTTAATTTTGTGGCTCAGAACTGTCTACTGGTTCCCAACACTGCAGACCACCTTCTGAGTCATGCCCTGGTTTTCGTCCTTTATTTTACCCCAAAGGCACCTACTTCACACTCTCCTCACATCATGATCGCTACAATTGGCTTATTTTTAAACTGTTCTTCATATGTAGAATTTCTTCTTCATCTCAGCCAAGTAATAATCCCTTCCTTCATGCAAGACCCTTCTGAGGTGCTAACCAGAACAAGGTATGGCGTTTCAGTATTTGAATGTGTTTATGAAGAACTGCGATGTAATCAGTTAACTCAATAAATTGATCAATTGGTTATTATTGCCTTGTTTTTACAGTGTAAGTATTGTAAAGATACCAAATAATGATTATAAAATATAGTTGTTTTTTTTTTTGTCCTCAACTGTGATAGAACGGACTTAAAACACTCTGTTAAGATCAAGAAATACCAAATACAGCTGGGCACAGTGGTTCATGCTTATAATCCCAGCACTTTGGGAGGCCAAGGAGAGAGGATCGCCTGAGCCCAGGAGTTCAAGACCAGCCTGGACAAAATAGCAAGACCTTGCCTTACAATTTAAAAAAAAGTAGCTGGACGTGGTTGTGTGCACCCATAGTCCCAGGTACTTAAGAGGCTGAGGCTCACTGCCTGAGCCAAGCAGGTCAAGGCTGTGGGCAACAGAGTGAGACATCAACTCAAGAAGAAAGAAAGAAAGAAAGAAAGAAAGAAAGAAAGAAAGAAAGAAAGAAGGAAGGAAGGAAGGAAGGAAGGAAGGAAGGAAGGAAGGAAGGAAGGAAGGAAGGAAGGAAGAAAGACTAAATACTGTGCTAGGGCTACAGTAAAATGTGATAGAACTCACAGGTTTAAAACAGTGACCTAGGCTGGGCTCAGTGACTCAGTGTGTAATCCCAGCACTTTGGGAGGCCAAGGTGAGAGGACTGCCTGAGCCCACGGGTTTGAGAGCTACCCGGGAAACTTGGTGAGACCTCGTCTCTACAATAAATTAAAAAAAAAAAAAATTAGCCGGGCATGGTAGTATGTGCCTGCAGTACCGGCTACTTGCAAGGCTGAGGCAGAAGGATCGCAGGAGCCCAGCCAGGTCGAGGCTGCAGTGGCTGAGAGCATGCCACTGCCCTCCAACCTGGGTGACAGAGTGAGACTCCAACTCAAAAAAAAAAAAAGAATAAATAAATAAAACAGTGATCTAAAGTCTAAGGACATCCAGTCTCTTAAGCCCCTTTTTTCCATCACATTATTGGTGTCCCTCGTTCAGGTCACCTGTCTGGGGCCAATCCTAACTGGTTCTGGTCTTCTGAGCTGTCCAATATGGTAACCATTAGCCACATGTGGCTATGAAGTGCCAGTAATGTGACTAGTATGACCAAAGAACAGAAATGTAATGTGGATTAATTCCATTTAATTCAAATTTAGATTTGAAAATGAATATTCAATTAAATTAGAAAACTTTTACATATACTTGGAGCACCTTGGCTTTGTGAACTCCTTTTCCAACTGTAAATTTCACACATCTAAATACAGACCAAGTATTACTAGTGAAAACGTAGTGCCAGATCTGAGATGTATTATATGAGTAAAATAACACTGGATTATAAAGATATAGGATGGAGAAAAGAATGTAAAATAGCTCTTCAATTTGTTTATCTTGATTACCTGTTGAAATGATAATATTTTGGATATAGTGGGTTAAATAAAATACGTTCCAAAAATTTATTTCACTTAAAAATTTTTTTTAATGTGACTAGTAGAAAAATTAGAAATTACACATGTGGATGATGGTATATTTTAATTGGTCAACATTGCTTTAGATAAACAAGCTCTATATGGGATTTGCACTCGTCCTAAACCCCAAGGCCAGCTATTTTCATGATGCTTCCTGGGCACCCAGAATTCTAGTGCATTTGGCCCTCTGCTGATTCTACCATATCAATCTGTGATTTGAGCTTGTGTTTAAAAACATAGCCCTAATCGGGCTCGGTGGCTCAGCCTGTAATCCTGTGCCTTTGGGAGGCTGAGGTGAGTGGATTGCCTGACCCCGCGGGTTTGAGACCTGCCTGGCAGCGAGACCTCATCTCTACAATAAATCAAAAATCAGCCGGGCGTGGTAGCGCACGCCTGTAATTCCGGATCGCCGGAGCCCAGCAGGTCGAGG